CTCATCTCGGGACTCTCCGGCTCCATCGCGGGGCCCTGTGCTGCCCGGGGACCGTGGCGAGGCGGAGGGGAAGGGTGAGCGCAGCAGCATGGCCGTGCTGCGCTGCCGCTGGCACCATGGCCGCGGGGGAGCTGGGGCCAGGCGTTGCGGGGACACAGCCTGTCTTGGGGAACAGGAGAAGAGGATGCCGGCAGCGGGCCCGGCCCAGCCCTGGATCAGCCTCCACAGCCCGCCGGGTGCCAAGCCCTTGGGAGGCCATGTAGGGCTGACTGGAGCGATGGGCAGCCAGAGACTGGGAATTTTTGGAGAAGCACCACACCAGGGCTGCCCTGCCACAAGCCCTCCTCGCCCTGCCTGGAGGCAGGTCCTCTCCGTCGCTCCCAGTGCAAGGGAGGTTCTGCCCCAGTGTCTGCGTGGGCTCAGATCGGCGGGACGGGTGTCCCCAGCAGCTGGCCACGGGCTCTGGCTGTTGCCTGGGGTTCCCTAGTGCCTTTTTTGGGGTGGAGAGCAGCAGCCGTGATCCCCCTGGGGCTTGGAGGGGTCTGGGGTTGGCAATGGATCGCTGCTTCCATCATGATGTGCCATCCCAGCTGATCCCCCCTCATGCTCAGGGGCCCTGCCAGCCCCCGAGCCATCTACCCCTTCCCTGGGCAGTACGTGCTGTCCCTACCCTGTGTCAGGGCTGGTCCCCGACACCGCCCGCCCCCGCCTGCTCCGGTGCAGCCCCTGGCCCAGGCTGCCCGAGACGCCCAGCGGGGCTTCAGTCGCCACAAGTGCCTTTCCCTGGCTTTCTGCAGCCCTGCCTGTCGCGCCGGCTCTGTCCCCCTCCAGCCCCCTCTCCGGTGCCTATGGATTCACCTTCCAAATAAAGCAACATTGGCGCTCACCGGTGTCTGGGGCTTTGTGCCGGGGCTGGGATGGGGTCTGAGCTGAGATGACACCCGGCTCTGTAGCCCTGCGCCCTGGGGCCTCCCTGCCTGGAGCCTCTGGCCATGGTCACAATGCCTTGGTGTGCTCTGGGGTCACAGGTGGGCTCCCCGGTGCTGAGCCACCGCTCCTGGTGGACAGGCTTAAACCTCTGCCCTTGGGGACAGGGGCTGTCCCCGGCCCCACTGCTCCTTCCAGAGACGGGGCACAGCCTAGTGCTCATCTGGGTGCGGGCGCCTCCCGCTGCCCCCCGGTGCAGAGGGTTGCCAAGTCCCCGGGGCTGTGGGGCCGGAGAGACGTGCTGGGGACAGGATGGAGCTGCATTCCTACGGGCTTCGTCACTCCGGGCTGAAAGGGCTCTCTGTCCTGGGGCCGGGGCACTGCTGGGCAGTCGTGCCCATGCCGCTGGGGCCCTGGAGAACCAGGGGCAGGCTGGGGGCAGCCAGCATCTCCCGGGGCTGGGTCCGGCCCCGGGCCGCACTCTCAGGAGGGGG